AGTTCCTAAATGCTTCCTCCCCATCCCCACTATCATGATCCGAATTCTACCTTGCAAGTCTGGCTAGACCAGAGGATGTACACTGGTACAGATAGAAACTGGAAATACAGGGAATCCAGGGCGGATGATCTGTAGTTTTCCTTGTACAAATTTTTTGTTTTTATTTTGTTCAGTATATCCCTAGATATTTCAATTTGTGCTTGGCTGTTGTGAAGGGTACTACCTTTTTGATCTCCTCTTTTGTGGTCTTGTTTGATGTATATAGCAGTCAGATAGATTTCTGTTTGTTGATCTTGTATCCTGCCACTCTGCCATATTCCTCTTATTACTTCCATCACTTCTCTCGTGGAGTTTTTGGGGTTTTCCATATATAAAATCATATCATCTGCAAATAATGATAGTTTCACCTCTTCTTTTCCTTTGATGTCTTTCCTTTGCTTTATGTTGTTATCTAGGAACCTGCCGTACGGTGTGAAAGTGGGGACAAGGGGCGTCCTTGTCTGGTCCCCCATTTTGGTGGGATTGTTTTTGTCTTTTTTTCTCTCCAATGACTACCATGTTGGCTGTTCATATATAGATATTAAACTTGTATCATATTGAGGAATTTTCCTTCCACTCCTATATTTTTGCGTGTCTTAAGTAGGAATGGGTGTTGAATGTTGTTAAATGCTTTTTCTGTGTCTATCGATATTATTATGTGGTTCTTAATCCTTTTTCTTGTCAGTGTGGCAAATACTGCTAAGGGATGTTCAGTCATCCCTGGAGTGAATCCCACTTGATCATGCTGAATTACTCATTTTATACACTTTTGTATACTATTGGGCAGTATTTATTGAGGATTTTTGCATCCATGTTCATTAGAGATAGCAGTTTGTAGTTCTCAATTCGTGTGGGATCCTTTCCCACTCTAGGTATCAGTGTTATATTAGCTTCCTAGAAAGTTTGGGAGGTTGCTACTTTTTGCATTTCCATAATTATTGGTGAAGTTAAACATTTTTTTGTTTTTAAAGCCTTTTGTATATCTGTGTGTCTGTGTGTATATGTTTATATACATCTTTATACATAGGCGCTTGTATATGGATGCTTGTTCTCTGAATTGTGAGGTTGATTTTAACAATAGAACCCCCTTTTATCTTAATATATTAGATGGCGACCATCAAAAGGAAATAGGATCATGGCAGCAGATGATGACAATGGTGATGGAACAGGTTTATTTGATGTCTTTTCTGGTAAGAGCTAGTATTTTCAGTCATCTTTCTAAATTTATTTTTGAACTGCAAAATTACTTATTCTTACCATCTTTTTCTCTCACACATAAATGAGTTAGTCCAAAGAAATGCCTCCTACATTGGGAGTGTGTAATGAATGTGAACTTTTGGTATACTTTCAAGCCTCTAGTTGTATTCAAATTAGGAATTTTTTCAATATAAATGGTAGTGATTATGAAATCTAGAAAAATATTAGATAGATATTGGTTGTTCTTGAAGTTAATACTTGCAGTAAATGCATTCATGCTTATTGTTCAAGAGAACTTTTGATAACCTCATTGGATGATTAGTTTGGAAAAGAAGTAATCAAAACGTAATACAGTAAGTACCTGGGCTACAGTCATTTAATATTGGACGACTTGTACTTGTCCTCTAACGTGTAGATTTGCCCCCACTTTGAAATGCTTGCTGCAACAAATTCTTCACAATCGCTTTCCCTTGCCGCACATGCGGCTTTGAAATATTTGTAACCCCAAGGACTGCTGTAGTAGTAAAATAAATTCATAAAATAAAAATACTTGGAATAGATGTGGCATGTCAACTTCCAAAGCCCCCTAGGAGACCTACTTTCTGGTTGTTCTATCTTAATTCCACTTGTGCTATGACATCCTTATTAGCTGCACTAAAACTGAGCAAGGGACACAGCGAGTACATCCACCTTTATTGCTAACTGTATGGTAAGGAGCATCACGAGTCCAGTTTCCACCTGGAAGTGGATCCCATTCTTATCTTCCCACTTCTCATTTCTTGTCATTTGCCACCCAATTGACACTCCTTTCTTTTTTTTATCCTCAGTCAACTAGAGGTGGATCACATTACACAGCTATCATCTCTCAGAACAGCGGCTGGCGCAGCAATTCTCTTAACCTCAGCCACTCAGTGAAGGGTTGACGCTCAGAAGGTAGAAGGACTGTCCTTCATACTGCCAAATGCCAGCCCGTGCTGGCTCCCTGTGCGAATTCCTTAGAGCACACAGATTTAGCAGAAAATATGTATACTTAGGTTGCTATATTTATTATAACTGGAAAGGATACAAACAAAAAGAGGTACAGGGACTGGTCTGGGAAAGGTTCCAGTGAGAGACTTCCATTGTCCCTTGAGATGTGTCACCTGCCTCAGAGTAGATGCTCTCACCAGTCCAGGAAACCCTGGTCTTTTGTGTATGAACACTGAAGGCTTCATTGCAGTAGTTGTGATGAGGTCTCCTGGCCTGGCCATGATTGATTGAGCCAGTGACTGACTGTGCATAATTGGATTATGCGTCCTCCCTTCCTGAGCTTAGCTGACCAGATGAAATCTTTGTAACCCCCATTCATTTGTACCCATTTCCATGTTTTGCCTAGTGGTTTAGAAGATAAAAGACATCTTGCTTGGCTGAAAGACTATGAGGGTTATTTTTTCAGGAACCAAAGACAAAGACCAAATTGAGTACTTAATCTCATCATTCTTTTTCTTGTCACTCTATCTGGGATTTATTGCACTTTTAAAATCTGTAAATGTATGTTTTACCAAATTTGGGGGTTTGAGAGGTGTGTTTTTTTTGCCATATTCATTCTTCTAGGAGTCAGATATACTTTGTGTGAGATCTTCAGATATTTTTCAATAGATCATTGAAACTATTAAAAACAAAAAACTCTCTGTTTTACAGATTGTATAGTTTCTCTTAATCTGTCTTTAAGATGAGAAGTCCCAATGGCACTGGGCTAGGTGTTAGGCTGCTAATCACAAGGTTGGCAGTTCAAACCCACTAGCTGCTCCAAGGGAGAAAGATGAGACTGTCCCCATAAAATTTTATGGTGTCAGTAAACCATACTCTGTCTTATAAAGCCTATATGAGTTGTAATCTTCTCAATGACAGTGGATTTGATATTTAGTTTTGGTCATTCAGGTCATGATTTTTCCACCAAGCTTATCCAGTGAACTTTTTATATTAGATAATAGCATTTTTTCTGTTTTAGAATTTTATTTGATAGTTTGTGTTTGTATTTCTCTGTTGATATTTTGTATTTGTTCTTTTACTCTTTATGTCATTGAGTTTAGTTTTAATAGCTGCTTTGGAATCTGTTAATTTCCAGTCCCACAGTCCATCCTTATTATGGGACAGTTTACGAGGAGAAAGAGGAAGATGGATTCTTGTATGTGGCCTACAGTAGAGAGAACACGTTTGGCTTCTGAGGGCCAGAATGGGGCTAGGTGCACCATTCCTGTTTGTGGATCTTGTAAATAGCCAGCTGATTTTAGTTACTACACAGATCCTTTTGACATAGACCGATTAGTGCATTTGTAACTGGATTTATTTCTTAATATATTGGAAGGATTTGTTCCTTAGATTAGTAAATTATCAGAGTTTGAGTTTTTCTTTTTGTGCATTGTGCTCATGGCTCTAGGCCCGGGGGAACTTGTTCCTCTGGGAACCATATTTAATGAAACTATTTCCACATTGAAGTGAGGTAGGTGAGGTATTAACATGACAGAGAGGGGGATGATACATTGGTTCTGGATTATGTCTGAAGTGTTAGATGGCTAGGTATTAAACGCATCCAGATAAATCCTTAGCAATCAGAACACTTTCTTACTTCACTAGATTTTTGCCAACTGCCAATCATGTTGGACTGAGCTAATCTGTTCCTCTTTCTGAAACTTAAGGTAAATGATTACCAATACAATTTCTCTGTGAAGGCAAACAAACAAAAAAATCTGTTCATTCCAAATTTTTCTAGGTGTTAAATGAACCACACAGACTAATGCACTCCTATTAGCCTGAGACTAGTGCTCTGGTCATCACTACTTAGCACGCTCAGGATCACAACCAAGGTCCTGGGCAGAGTGGGAGGAAAAGGCAGAACAAAAGTAAAAATCATAATAAACTGGTGGAACCCCTGAGAATACAGCTCTTAAACACCTTTCAAACGTGGAATTGAATCTGCTGCTGGAGATCGCTTTTCAGTAAAACAATAGACGAGTCTTTACGTGAACAATTACACCTGTGAGGAACATGCTCCTCAAAGAGTCAGCCATTCGAAACCAAAAAGGCAACCTTTGCCCAAAAACAAAGTTCAGAAGGCAAGAGAGGCAGGACAATGTGTAAATGGTGACATGGAACTTGGTGGGGAGTGCGTAGAGGGCTGTCAAATTGAAACTGTCATGAAACAAAATATGTCTACGTGGTTGAATGGGAAACTAATTTGCTCGAAATTTTCACCCAAATCACAATAAAATGTCCACCACCACCCCCATCATCCCCCTCAAAATAACTTGGCAATGTGGAGATAATAAAAACAGAAAAAGAAGCAAAAATGTTAGGCAAAGTCAAAAAAGTTAGACACCACAGGACAGGTCTTTTTACAATTCCACGTATAGGCATACCTTGGAGATACTGTGGGTTCGATCTTGGATCCAGTGCAGTAAAGTGAATGTTGAAGTGAACCAAGTCACGTGACTCTTGGTTTCCAAGTGCATGCAGAAGCTATGTTTATACTATTCTGCAGTCGATCAAGTGTGCAGTAGCATTATTAAAAAGTTTAAAATATTGTGAGAATTACCAAAATGCAACAGAGACTTAAAATAAGCACACGCTTCTGGGAAATTGGTGCCTGGAGGCTTGTTTGACAGGCTTTCCGCAGTGCAGTAAAATGAAACATGATAAAATAAGGTTTGCTGGTATATGAAAGGTCCAGAATAAGCCATTTTACAGAGGCCGAAGGTAGATCTGTGATTGCTGGGCAGGGCTCGGAGGAGGGGGCACTTCCTGAGTGAATGGTAGGTTTGTTAGTCTGGGTAGACTAGAGAAACAAATCCAGAGACACTCATGTATAAGCAAGACCTTTTTATAAAGAGTAATTGTATATTAAGAAAACATCCCAGCCCTGTCCAGATCAAGTCCATAAGTCTGATATTAGCTCTTATGTTCAGTACCAGTCTATAAGTTCCTCTTCTGACTCACGCAACACATGCAATGATGCCAAGTGCAGGAAGATCATCGGCCAGTGAGTGGAAAGTCTTGTGGATCCAGTAGTGGTAGAAGCTTCTCAGCACTGGCTTGGGTCTGCACATGGCTCTTTCAGCCCTAGGGGTCTGGGTCCCATCAATGTAGCTCCATGTGGCTTGTCAACAGGAATATGAAGCAGACAGTCAGTGTGTCCCACCTCCAGGAAAAGAGGAGTTCCCAGAATCCTCAGAAGAAGGTTATGCCCACACGGGGGCCTCATTGGCTGTGACCTGAATGACAGGCTAGACCCCACCCCTTTGCAAGTTGACCAATTATGTAACTGCCACAGTTGGGAATGCTTAGGGGAGGGGTCTTCTATTTGGGATGATGGGACTGTTCGAAAGTTGGTTGGTCGGGACAATGGCTGCACAACCACCCTGGAAACTATTGATATGTGCACATCAAATAATGGATTATATGGGATGTGAATTATATCTCATTAAAACTGTTTTTAAAAAAATTCTGTTAATTTCCATCCTAAAAGTCTTAAGAGGCTTGTTCTTCATTTGGTATTCTTTCACTTTGATCATGAATTACGTTTTTCTGTTTCCTTATGTTTGTAGTAACTTTGTTATATTTGGGACATTCTAACTGCTACAGAGACACTGGATTCTGTTTCTGTTTTGTTTTTTTTTCTTGAGAGGGTTGTTGCTTTTAACTTTAGCAAATACTTGACAAAATTCAAACTTGTATCTCTCCTGCAATGAATAGCAGCTGAAATGTGTTATTTTAGCTTCAGCTGGGCTTTTCCAGAATTCTGTTTTACTTGTGCAGTTAGGGTCTCGCAGAGATTTGAATCATAATTTGAATACTTCTCTCTGTGGTTCTCTGGATTTCCTCTGGCACTTTCTACTTCCTCTCACTTTACCCCTGAAGTGTGTCTTCTGGGTCCTGGTTGGAAATCTCTATCTGAATTGTTAGCGTTCTGTATGGCGTCAACTAGGCCTAGGCCCTGTCTTCCCACAAGAAGCTGTAAGAGCTGGTGAGAACTCCAGTGCTGCTTTCTTTCAGATGCGACTTCTCTGTGCTTTGAAGTACTGGTACTCTCTAGTTCAGTCGTTCTCAACCTTCCTAATGCTGTGACCCTTTAATCCAGTTCCTCATGTTGCGGTGACCCCCCCAACCATAAAATTATTATTTAAAAAAAATTCTGTTGGCTCATTAAACTCGTATCAAATCCATAAATATATCAATTGTGTAAAGCACATTTGTACATTCGGTGCCATCATCATTCTCAAAACAAAATTATTTTCATTGCTACTTCATAACTGATTTTTGCTACTGTTAGGAATCGGGCGACCCCTGTGAAAGGGTCATTCCACCCACAGGTTGAGAACCACTGTTCTAGTTCTTCAGCTTTTAATGTTTTGTTAAGAATTTATAGTTGTTAATTGTGGGTGAATTGTTCCGATAGGAACTACTTTGTTGTTGTTGGAAACAGATCCACTATGTTTCGAAAATAGCTTATTTACTGAAAATTGTTTTGTTTTGTTTCTTAATGAAAAACTTTAAGTATGTAAATCTGAGGTAATAGTATCATGAACCAGTGTACTCAGGTTTTCCTGTTTGTAAGGCTGTCGAAAAACAACTTTTAAAAAAATTCGAACACTTTTCATGTACCTTCAATATAGAAGTGGAAATATTTCATTAAGTGCATAAAAATCAGTTTTAACTAACAGTTACTTTTCTTGCAGCTTCTCTTAATAATGATGAAGGCTCTTTGGACATATATGCCGGGTTGGACAGTTCTGTGTGTGGTAGGTAGATTCTATAAAATACCTTCATTTTGCTTGATAGGTGGTTTTAAGTGTATCGTAAATAATTACCCATTCTTTGAAATGATTGAAAAGCCTCATACAAGCAGACATCAAAAAGTTCACGGAGACGATGGCAGTAGAAGATAATGGGATTTTTCCATGAACTTTTTGGAGCCCCCTCATATTAAAGCAATTGTTTTCTTGCCGACAACTCGAGTAGTGAAACAAATTAGTGCACAGATTGGTTATTCATCCAGGTCTCAGATACATTCTGACCTTGTGCAGAAGTATTTCCTGACACGTGAATGCAGCCAGTGGTAGGGTTGGTACTTAGATTACTACTCATACTGTCACAAATAGCGTAGTATTATAAGGTCTGAACGTGGTGGTTAATAAAAATATTTTCAAATGAATCAGTCAGACTGCACATGATAATCTATTTAAGTTAGAAACTCTTCATATTGACTCGTTCAAAGCTTTGAACAGACAGGATTCTGGCATCTGGTTCCGTGACCTAACTATTTTAAGGAAACTGGTGTTCCAAATCTCATCTATGGAATCGGTGTAGATTTGGATAAATTGGCAGAGATGGAGGAGATTGACACATCAGACATCATAATGTAGTTTAATGTAAGGGGTCTTGTTTGTTTGTTTGTTTGCTTTAGACACTGCTCCCAAATCCTGTGTCCCACCCAGAGATTGTTTGGATTTATATGAAGAGATCCTGACAGAAGAGGGGACCGCCAAGGAAGCAACATACAATGATGTATGCATGGATTGCCGCAATTGTTAAGGACAGGCATCTGCTTACTAGACATTACTAGACATTCTGAATTTACAACTTTTAGACTAAAAGAATATTTATCAGTTTCAGTCTTCAGATCATCTTTTTAAAGAATGCTTTCTGAATGCTTGTCAAATTTAGTGATAGTTTTAGTAGACAGACTTTCAACAGTCGACCAGTGTGATAGAACAGTTTTAATCTGTTCAGATATGGACTGATTTAGGTTGTACGGTGTGTAACATGTCCTGAGGCATAAATCAGACAGATTGTTTTCTACTTTATTTGAATGCTGAAAATGGGATATTGAATGAAATGAGATAAAAAACACCCCCCCCAAAAAAAAAAAACCATTCCCAAATAGTCCAACTTGAAAAACCTAGTAGTCTTATTTAATAGCTATTACTGTAAGTGGACCTCATTGACTCTTAATGATGTACAAAATTTTAAATATTTAAAGTCATTCAAGCTAAGAGAATAATTTAGAGTAATGGCTAAATTCATTTTTTATGTTTCACAGTTGCAAGTAGAATATGAAAAATGCCAGCTGCAAATGAAAGAACTGATGAGAAAGTATAAGGAAATACAGACGCAGGTAAGAGTCTAATGAAGATTAAAATTTAATAAAGTATTTTTTGGGGTAAGTTGGTAGTAAAATGCTAAGGCATTGATAGTTTATAAGGAAAATTGTTTATTAAAGGAAATAGCAAATATGGCAAAACATGCCTCATTTGATGAAATTGATAATAGGAAAACTGCAAGTCTTGCTTTGTTAAATGATACTAACATAAGATTGTTTCAGACTTAGACTAGTTAACAGTTATATAACAGAAAATTTATAAAATTGAGTGATTTGAGAACTAAAGATTTAGAAAAGCCTTTGGGGGGGGGAAGTGCCAATCCCTTCAGTTTTTGTCTTCTCACCCCATATCTTGCCAGTTGAGTTGACTTTTATGTCATGGTGACCCTTGAATTTCAGAGGGTTTCCAAAACTGTAAATCTTGCCGTGAGTAGACAGCCTCATCTTTCTCCAGAGAAGCCTCTGAGGGGTTCAAACCACCAACCTTATGGTTAGCAACCCAACACTTACGGAGCTTGTTTTTCCACAATGACCTGTTTTTAATGATCACACTGAAATAAACAAGTATATTATAATAATAAGGAATAATTAATATCCTGCTATAATTTTTTTAAGTAAAATTGTTTTTCCTCGTGTCCCCAAAAATTAATGGACTTTGATTCATTCCTTGTTCATCTGTTAATTAGTACATTATCGCAAATTCAACTTCACTTGTTAGATAATAAAGTTATACCATTTTTATGTTTAATTTGGAAGCTATGGGGAATAATTCTTCCTGCTGTTTATTTTGAAATTTTGATCCCTGTTTGTAAGTGATTTCACATAAGTGGCCTTTGTCTGCTGACAGTTATCTTCTTTGGATCTCAACTTTCCCACATGCATCATGGGAATAAGTGTATTTCTCATGGGATTTTTTTTTTTGACAATTACAGAAGATACAATATGTAAGGACTCACTTTAGTTATTAACTACACCAGCAATGGTGTTAGTAATTCTATAGCAATGTGCTTTATTAATACATGTATGATACTTTAGAATTGCAGCTTAAAAAATGAAAACCTGTCTCTTAAGAAGAATATTTCAGCACTTATGAAAACTGCCAGGGCAGAAATAAACCGCAAGGATGAAGAAATCGATAATCTTCATCAAAGGTATAACTGAGGCATGTAAATCTGTTTATAAACTGCCTAGGTGTTGGTCTATAGAGTATTTTTAACCTTGAGTGGCAAAATTAACCGCCATGCATTTTATTAAATATTTAAGATTTTGGTTTACACATGGGACTGCTAACTGCTGGGTTGGAGGTTTGAACCCACCAACCACTCAGAGAAAGACGAGGTATTCTGCTCCCATGAAGGTTCGCAGCTTCCGAAACTCCCGGATGCACATTTACTTTGTCCGATTGGGTCGCTCTGAGTTGCAGTCAAGTTGATTGCAGACATGAGTATTAATCGAATACTGCTACATACCTTTCTCAGAATACTCAGGACTGTGGTACTCTTCACGATAGTGTCTTCGTCATGGGTTCTTGTTCCCCGCCAAACCAACGAAAACCAAAGCCCTTGCCACTGTGTTGACTCCGACTTAATGGTGACCCTGTAGGCTCCATCTTCGTCATTGGTGGTAAATCTTTAAGAAGCAAGCAGCCTCATCCTTTTCTGATGGAGCAGCTGGTGGGTTCAAATCCCCAATATTTCAAGTGAGCGGCATGACACCAAGGTTCCTTTGGTTCCTACCAGAGTCCTACAATATTAAGAGGGCTTCTCTCTCTCTCCTTTGTTGGTCTAATTGAGACGCCTTTCTTTCTCAATTGTTTGGTTTTCTATCTCCAAATGGGTTTCCTTCATTAATTTCTCTCTCCTGATCCCCTACTTTTTGGTTGTGTTTTGTGTTTTGCTCAGCAAATTTCAGGTCTCTTCTCCCCTTCATAGCCAAACCTTTAATAAAAGGTGGTCTAAACCTGCTATCTCCATGCCCTTTCTTTCTACTCACTCTTGGGCCAATTTCAACATCATGTTCGCCCCCCATTGGTCCACCAAAGCAGCTGTCACTGGTAAACAAGGAATTCCACTGGATCCATCAGGTAGTTTTGACTTCTCATCTTCACCTGTCCTGCCACACTGGTTGACACAGTTGGCCCTCACTTCTGGAAATATCCTCTCCTTTTGACTTCCGTGATGTAATGATTCTTAATTTTCTTTCTAACTTTAGGTTTGTATTTTTGAACTTGACTGTTTCAAGTCCTTAAAATTCAAACCTAGTTCCTTTCTCATCTGTATCAATAATTTCTTTTGTGGAACTCCCAGTCATACGAAGTCTGTTTTATTATATTTTTAGACAAGTCCTTGATATCTCTATAGTAGATGCCTTTAAAGGTTTCTCAAAATCATTTTATCCCAAACTAAATGGTTCATCCTGTCCCTTCCCCCAATATTCCACAGCACAGTTCAGTGCCTCCTCATTTTGCCAACTAGTGCAAATGAGGAGATGAGAAGTACTGACCAGTTAATTTCTTGCTTAAGCCAGCACACTTTTGAGAGAAGAGGACGCTGTTAATACGTCCTCTGATATTGTTTCCCAAACTGGAACTCACATCCCCTTTGGCCATTGATCCATTTGCTGATCAGGTTATTGTTAAGTCTTGTAGATTTCAGGTCTTTCTGATCTTTCACAGAACTATTTCTCTCCGTCTGTGTCATCACCACTGCTCTGTCCCACTGCCTCATCTGAACTGGCAGAAGTCTTGGAGTGGCATCCACTTGCCCTCTCCACGGCCTGCTGTATTTCCTTTCAGTCTTACAGGCACAGAACATCTCTCTGGAGCACAGCCTGGATTATCCCACTGTCACAAACACCATTCAGCCCAGCCCTGGTTTCTGGGTTAAAACACATCAGTGGCTACTCATTGTACTTGGGAAGTCTTAACTTCACCTGAAGGCTCTTCGCTGTAAGGCCCTAAATACATTTCTCAAGCCTTCTCACCATGTTCGCCTGAGATGCGCAGCTCTGACCCAGTTCTGCGGTTCTGTGAATGCCTTGGATGTACCTCATGCTCTGCTGTGGTCTGGGCTGCTTCCGCTGCTTGAAATGCTCCTCTCCTCTCCTTGTGAAGTACCTACTCGTCTTGCTTGCCTCAGCTTACACATGCTTTTCACAGGGGTTACTTGTGCATTTTCCCAGATCAGGGCAGATCTCTCTTTTGTAGCTCATGTACATGTGTAAATTTTCAAATCACGGATGTGATTAACTAATTATTGCCTTTCTCTTCCATAACACGGTAAGCTTCCTGGGAGGAGGGACCAAGTCTGTGTGTCCTTACCCTTGTATCAAGCGTCTAGCACAGTGTCTGGCACATGATATATGCTCACTATGATTGAAGAGCAGATGACAGTTCTCTCATGGTGTGGCCAGCATGGCAATTGAGAGCAGGATTTCACTGTAGGCCTTAAAAAAATAAAGATGGCTTGTCTGATAAATGAATTATATGCCAATAAAGCTATCATAAATAAAGATGGCTGTGGTTGTTTCCACCAGTACAAGTAATATCAGCTTAGTTCCTGAATTCGTGGAGGCATTTTGTTATTTATCCTTGGAGGCTACGAAAAGTTTGTCGAGGACTCTCTTACGGCTCCGTCTAATGGCCCCCTCATCCAGATAGTGTGTCTGAGTCCTTTTTTTTAATAGTTTTATTGGCAAGTAATATACTTATCATACAATTCAACACTCCAGTCATTTAATTATATCAAGGGGAATTGTGCAATTGTTACCATATTAATTTTAGAACATATTCTCCACCCCACCCCATGGTTAAATCACCTTTAAAATGAGTTGTCTGTCTGGGTCATTATATTGTCTGGATCCCTTTGAAGAACTTTTTTTTTTT